AGCTATCCAGAATTCATCTGATAGTGCTTCGTCAATATTAGAGGGCTCAATGTGAGAAATGAAAGCAGAGAAAAGAACTTCATTGACAATTTGTCTCCGGGTTTTGACCCCTTCATTGACTTTACCGATGACTTGATCCAGAGGATGATCTCGGTTGTGTCTCCATGCCTTTGGCTGCTCTAGATTTTCTTGTAAAGAGGGATCGTTTAAAACATCCCTGTTTTCTGAAACGGTTTCTGAAAATAATTTGTTCGAGTTTTTGTTCAAATCTAGTTTTTGAAAATTTTGAACGATTTCAGCATCATCATCTACAGGTTTCGAAATTGTTTCAGTTTCAGCAAACACCACATGAATTGATTCTTCTATTGTAAAGGTTCGTTTATTGAAAATTCTATATGCTTTACTACGATTAGAGTAGCCAAGAAACAAACCCTCATCAGCTTTAGGATCGAATTTACCCAGGTTTTCTTTGTTGTTGTTGTGGATATAGCATCTGCTTCCAAAGATCCTTAGGTGTGACAAATTGGGTTTTCTTCCCCTGTACAATTCATATGGAGTCTTCCCGAGCAGTGTTCTGATGTAGGCTCTATTTGAAATATAGCAGGCTGTGCTCATTGCTTCTGCCCAGAAAACTTGTGAGACCCCTTTCTCATTTAGCATTGCTCTAGCCATCTCCGTGAGTACTCTATTTTTTCGTTCAACTACTCCGTTTTGTTGAGGAGTCCTTGGTGCAGAAAAGTTGTGGTCAATTCCATGTTCCTCACAATAGTCTGCGAATTCGTTGTTTTCAAATTCTCCTCCGTGATCTGACCTGATAGACACAATAGATATACCTTTCTCATTTTGGACCTTTTTGGCAAAAACACTGAAAGCATTAAAAGTTTCATCTTTAGAGGAAAGAAACAAAGTCCAGGTAAACCTTGAATAGTCATCAACTATTACAAGAGTATAAAGATTTCCACCGAAGCTTTTTACTCTAGATGGACCGACCAAGTCCATGTGAATCATTTGGAGAGGTCTTTCAGTTGAAACTATCTTCTTTGATTTAAACGAAGATTTTGTTTGTTTACCTTTTTGGCAAGCATCACAAACATCATCGCGTTCATACTGGATTTTGGTAAACCAACAACTAGATCCCTTTTTATTAATTTTGAAAGTTGATTCATGTTGACATGTGCAAGACGTTTGTGCCAAATCCAACTTTCCTCCTTTTTACTAATAAAACAGTTTTCAGAAGTTTTAGAACCAAGTTGAAGTGTATAACAGTTACCGTCTCTCGGAGCTCTCAGCTTCGTATTCAATTCTTCTTTCTTCAAGGGTAGGTCATCTTTGCTTATGATTAAACACTCTTCAGAATCAAAGATTACCCAGTTGTTTTTGTCCGCACTCTGACTGACGCTGAGGAGATTATGACACAGACCTTCCACGTAGTACACGTCCTCGACCTTCATGCCTATACCACTTCCGATTTCTCCGATTCCAGCAATTTTTCCCGATTGGTTTCCTCCGAAGCTTACTTTTCCTCCATCTTTTGGTTTGAGTGATGTAAACTTCTCAGTGTCACCTGTCATGTGTCTGGAACATCCGCTGTCTATATACCATTTATTTGTTCTGGATGCCTTGAGACATACCTCGTCTGTTTCTGAGTCCTCGTTTTCTTGGGCCACCAGACAGATATTAGCTGTCTCTTCATCGTCACTTTCTTCTTCTTCATCGGAGGAGCTGTCTCCCCAGATTGATGTGACGAAGGCTTTCTTCTTTCTGAATCTTTCTTTCTTCTTTTCTTTATCCTTTGCTCTGGAGAGTTGGGGACATTCCGCCTTGATATGTCCTGGCTTCTTACATTCGAAGCAAATGATTGGATCCTTTGATTCGTTCGGATATGAGGAAATTTTGCGTTTCGGCTGAAACTTCTTTCCGGTTCTGTTTTTGTAGAATTTCTTGAACCTCTTGACTATAAGGCCCATTTCATCATCATCAAGATCATCTTCATTTTCATCCTCGCTCACTTGAGTTTTAAGAGCGATGCCTTTCCGGTTTTTCTCGTTCATCTCCTTTTTGTATTTTTGCTTGCTCTCATACTCAGCAAGACTCCCGAATAGTGCTGCAACCGAACCAATGGATTCTCCTTTGGTTTCTTCAATAGCTGTTACTTTCGGTTCCCATTCTTTTGTGAGACCGCTCAGGATTTTCCTCACTTGATCTTCTTGACTATATTTCTTCCCAAGTGCAGTGAGGTGATTTATGAGATGTGAGAATCTGACTTCCATATCTCGGATACTCTCTCCTTCCTTCATTCTGAATAACTCGAATTCGGTAGTGAGAGTGTTGATTCGACTCTGTTTTACACCGGTGGTTCCTTCATGAGCTATCTCCAGAGCCTCCCACATTTCCTTCGCGGTTTCCAGACTTGAGACTCTGAAGTATTCCCTCTGACTAAGCGCACACGTGAGTATGTTGATCGCTTTGTCATTTAGAGTCACCAGCTTCTTATCTTCCTCGTTGAACTCCGTGGAACTCTTGGGTACTTGCTGGCCATCTATTGTGTTCATCGGGACATAGTTGCCGTGTTCTATTACGTCCCACAACCCATACTCTGTGGCCTTAATGAAGATTTTCATCCTCATTTTCCAGAACGTATAATTTTCTCCACTGAAGCCTGGCGGTTTAGATGTTGAGCATCCTTCCGGTAACACGCTATCTCCAAATCCTGCCATTTGATCTCTCTTCGGACTGTTAAATCCTTAGTGAAGAGACCTGCTCTGATACCAAATGTTAGAAACAATCTCACCCAAGAGGGGGGTGAATTGGGTGAGTTACAAAAATTTAAAACTAAAAGCGTGCAAGTATTGAATAAAAACAGAGAGTCAGAGTAAGGAGAATTTTAACCACAGAGAGGAGACACAAGATTTATACTGGTTCGGTCTAATCCACGTGACCTACTTCCAGTCCCCAGAACACCTCTGAGTATTTCACTATCTTCCAAGATCGACAGGGCTCTTGGTGCCTCGGTACAGTAATTGAATCGCTCAATCACTCCCCCTTACTCCCGTAAGGATACAACCCCTCTCAAGAGTCCACACTCTTGAGTGTCTCTCAAGTTTTTAATAAGAGTAGTGAATGGCTCTCTTACAGAGTGAATTCAATGATAAACACTGATGCTCAGTAGTAAAGTGAAAAACAGAGTATTGAATGTGTAACTAAATAATCGCAGGTGGTAGTTCAGGTATTCAATTCCTTCATTAATGCCTCTTCGCGCCTTTTATAGTTGATATCGTTAAATAGCCGTTAGACGGAAGGGCTTCTAGCCGTTGTGACTTCGTTTGCGTGTTTCACTGGTTTTAACAACTCCGCCATTAATGCGTCTGAGTTTCTGACACTGTAGGTCGCAGTCTACGTAATCCCGTTGAAGAGCCGTTGCACTCGTTTTCATTAATCTGCATATTTCAAACTTAGAACAAGTGAGAGTTTTGTGGTGAGTGCTTTAATCTTGAATACAGAAAGAAAGCTAATCTATCATTCAAGGATTTGTGCCGAAATCATTTATCAGTAAGAAGAACAAAATGTCATTCTGGTTTAGTTTGATCGAAAAAGTGATCGATTACTTGATGATAGATCAAGTTATCGATAACCAGAATGAAGACTTTTCGAAGTAGATCACTAAAATTATCGATCAAGTGTTGGATCATTGACTTTAAGAATTATCATAGAAAGAGGAAATTATTGCATGATCGAATAAGTGATCGATCACATAATTGATCGAACAGATTATCGATAATTTAAATGTTATTGAAATGAAGCTTCAGTCATTGATGATCGAACATCTTATCGATAAATATATAATGCATAATGTTATCGATAAACCATGGGTATGTATATATTCAATGAAGAACACAGGCTATCTGAAAAGATCGAACATTTAATCGAACAATGAATATTCGAACAAATGATCGAATAAATTATGAAGAGAAGATTAATCCTTTAAGGCAAGGAAACTGGTTATCGATCACCTTTTGTGAAAACATGATTTTCATGGAATTGGATGATCGATCATATTATCGAAAAACCAGTGATCGATAACTTGATCGAACATTCGTTCACCATAACTTAATGCGAATATGTCAATTCTTAGACTCTTTATCGATCACGTTATGTGAAAACTTTTGTTGAGCAAATAAGTTAAAGTTATCGATAATGTTATCGATAATTTAGCTTTAGCAAAATTGAGTAAGAGTAGATAAGGACATTGATTATCGATCATGTGATCGATAATTTTGTGATCAATAAAGTTATCGATCTATCAGTGAATTTGATCACCTGCATTCAGAGAGTTAGAGCATAAAGTTCGAGCACGTAATCGATAAATAGATGATCGAAAATATGATCGATAAACTTGTAACAGAACTAATGTGCAGAACAAGTAGAGAGTGTTACCTTTTATCGAAGTCGTTATTGATGACTGATTTATCGATAACTTGATCGATAAATACACTTCAGATTTGGGTCTCTTATCAGTAACTCGATTGTTTACCTGATATTATCGATCAGCTTATCGATAATTTCCCAAAGTCTTATGTGATATTTACGCTAGCGATTACCGATCACTTTATCGATAATTTATTCATCGAATAGTTCTTCGATCAAAAAGACTACTATAGACCCGATTTATACTTGATCATTTATCTGAAACCTTAGCGATAACTGATTGCTCGATCAGTTGATCGATCAAAATACTTAACCCTGAAATTCTGACTTGTTATCATCAAAACTATAATCCTAACAGATAATATTTTTTTTTCTCTTCTCTCTATTTTTTCTCCCCCATTTTCTTTCCTCAAAATTTTTCTTTCCATGCAAACCAGCAGTAAGTTGGCCGATTAAAAAAGAATATTTTTTTCTATTTGTTTTTAGAATTGGCAATTCAATTTCTTGTTTATAGACAAGTATAGATTACTGAAAGCCTATCAACTATGTGATAAGATTATTTCTTTCTCATTTTCAATTTTAGCAACACATTTGAAAGTGTGCCAATATGAATGTCATATTCATATTCACAACAGACAATATCATCTCCTGGCAGATTCTATGGGAGTCATTTCATAGCAGCGTCGGATAGATTCTATCGGTAGTGGAATGCAGGAAAATAAAAAGGATGAAAATGTGCCAATACGGACTTCTTGCTTTCTGTCATTGGAATCCTCACTAAGTTTTCAAAATCCCTTTTTCTTTATATGATGCTCAGTTAGCCTTTTCATCTCTTCACTTCCAGGAGAAAGCTTTGCTTACTGCCATCTTACTGAACTATATATAATGAGTTCATAGAAATCATTTTGTCCCATTTCAAAAATATAAAATTGGTTCAGGTGCCGATTGATTCAGCTTGATTATTCCAATTGTACCAAACGACAATGATCTTCAAGTTATTGACCAAATTCAGTAATATGTGCACGCACATATCAGTCTCCATACAAAACTTAACACAACTTTTATTGAATTGAGGATTTCAGGTTCTCATGCAACTCATATTTAGATATTACTACTTTTAGTTCTAAATATAAAAATTAGTCAGGAGTTGAATCTCTTCTTAAATATAAAACATCAATCCACTTTATTTTCCAAATTCATAATATTTTTTTTCAAAATATTTGTAATAATTGTGAAGTGTTTCCACAAAAGAATAGTTCCCATATACATAATTAAATAATACTCCTCCAGTTTTTAATATAGAACCTAATTTTTAAGTTAATTTTGGTCTCAAATATAAGATCTATTTCTTGTATTTATCAATTTCTCCTAAATTACCTTATGAATACTCCTTCAACTATAATCAAGCAAGTAAGGGAGAAAGGATATTAAAAAAGATAATTATAGTATTTTAAAAAAAACATGTCATATTTGTTATAATTAACTAACTTATCCAACTTCCTTAATCTAATCAAATTAGTTAAATATGTTTTATATTAAGAATAAAAAAAATACTAATTTAGAAAAGTCAACACACATTTAGTACAAATAACTAACTTAACTAATTTATTTAATTTCTTCAAGTTAATTACCCAGTTCTTACATTAATAATTGAACATTTTATGTCCTTAAAGTAGGCATCTAAGGAACATGGAAATTTATCAAACCCATATGCCTAACACAACACTTCATTTTGAGACATTCCCATAGATTGCTATTCTAGTGGCAATTTTAATAAGCAATGTATTCCATTAGTAAGCTATTGTCAGGTTGATATTGATAAACTCTCGTCAAGCAAGAAAATGAAATGAGGGACTATATGCTTTTAAGTGCGTCTTACTTGTTGCTGCTCATTAGTATGCCAAAGAAAGATTTCTTGAAGTTGATTCGGGATGTTTATAAGCCTAATTTGGTGCACAAGTCTGTGAAAATGTTGAAACAGTTCCATCTAAATACAACCACGCTCTTCCTGTATGCTCACAAATTTATAATTGCAGTATAATTTTAGTAAAGTTTCAATCCTAGATGGCACACATTTAATCCAACACATTCCCGCATTGCATTAACAGACTACTTGAAAAACTTATCAACAGCTGAATTGGCCATGACAGAGTGTGATATATGCACGGTTGTTTATTTGTATGTCAGCACTTTGATCCATCTTCTATAAAGAACCCATGGACAATGCAATATACAATATCAAACGATGCTGGCATCCTAGTGTTTACTATTGTCATCATCATCCTCAAGCAAGTTGTCATTCGTGGTTTTTTGGTGAAATGATGTGGACCTTTGAGGATCTTCCCAGTCCCCAATATCCCTTGATTGTTCTTGGACAGGTGGCAGGTTCCTGTTCTCTTTCTTGCTTCCCTTAATTATATAGCAAAGGAAGTTCATTTTAAAGAGTATAAAAAGCTTGTTTATAAGTAGGCCATGATTAGAATGTAAATTAACACGGCGTGTACCTGAGACATTTCTTCCTTCTGATTCAAATGGTCTTTCTTCCTTTTGGCCGAAGATATCTGATTTGAAACTTCCCTGAATATTTGAAACCCCTGTATATCTCCGTTTCTGATGCTTGCTTCTAGCTGCAATGGAAATTACTTTACCAGTAAAAAGAAGGGCCACAACCTACGAAGCACATGCACAAACACAAATACAAGACAGGACACACTATGCAATGGGTTACATAACAGATCAACACATACAGTGCTCAGAAGCGATTTGACTTAACACTCATAACTAAAATAGGTGACAGAACTGCAATAAACATTGACTACAACATAGCTTCAAAATGGGTTGGTCCCAAGGAAGCTCCATAATGCATTATCTTTTCAAGTATGTGCATCAACTGATCTTTAGGTTCTTCTTAAGCTATATAATAGCAAGTCATCTCAAGATTTGATTTGGAGTTATGTTTACCATAACATACAAAAATGTGTAAACAGGCAATGCGTATGAAACCAAGGCCATAAAACAAAGTCATTAGCTTATACCTGAATGTGAATAATGCAGAAAATAATGCTAGCAATAGGCAGCCAGCTTTCTTCCGGTGAGAGTGATAGGTTTGACCTAATGAAAAAAACATTCACTAGTCACATTCCATGATAGCATCACATAAAATTCAAGTGCCATTAGTCATTATTAGTTGAACAATCAAATGCCATGTGCTTTAATATTTTATGTTTTACTATTTATTTATTTAATTATGAATGCAAGATGATTCTATTTGTCTTTGGGGCTCATATCAAATGCAAAGTCCAAAGACTCAAATTACAACGAAAATTCAAGATATCCCTTTTTCTGGAGATGAGATTGATTGCCCAAAAAAGACGCTCTTACAAAATGGTTGGCAGCTTATACATTAAGGTTAAAGCATTTTACATTTTACATTCAGGAGCCCTAAAATCCACGACACTGAAAGAGTTTGCCAAAGTAGAATAGAAAGTATCAAAGGCCAAAGCAATTAATTTTCACAATTTATTCATCTTTTAAATTTAAATTTTTTTTTGGCAGAACAATAAACTCATGAAAATATTTAAGTGTTTGTATATTCTACAAGTATTACTTTAATAAATAGCAGTATATCAATTTGATACTATGCAAACGTCACATTAATGAATAGTAATATAGTAGAATTAGTACCAAATGATTTTGGCTTTATATGATATATCCATAATAATATATAATTAAACAGCTTTTCTTTTTGGTTCAAGAAAACATAATGTACGACACAGCAGCCAGTAACTTAGATAACCTTCAATATGTCAAAGTAACGAACACTTTCAAGTAAGAAAACATCTTATCATGCGCATCAATAAAATGAGGGGGCGGCCAAATAGAGAACCTTCAATATGAAGCAATAAAAAGAATTAAGCTTAATCTTGAGATTCCAACCTTAGATAGGGGGCCAAATAGACAAGTGCATACACAGCATAACGTCTTCTCCCAGTGTCAAGCCATGCAAAAACCCAACTCTATCAACCAAAAAACATCAAGCAAGATAATTACAGTAGATTGACTATCACAAAATTAAGAGTCAATTTAGCACCCAGATTTATTTTAGCACATGAATTAATCCTCAAAGTTCTTATGAAATACATTTTTGTACTGTCATTTGATCAAATGGTATCTAACTCCATATGTGGATTGCATTGCAATTTAAAATAAATCAGATAATTCAAGGTCCAAGAACTAAATTTTCAATAATCAAATTGTATATTTTGAACAAATATAGAGGAAATACTAGGAACAGCAGATTACCAGCCAGTTAAAATAAGGAATGAAAGTAATAATCCCCATCACCGCAAACCTAGTATCGGTTCCATCAATGGCAGAATCACCATCCTCCTCTTGTTGACCATCGGAGACAGGGAACAGCAAAGAAGTGAGCATACAAGCACCGATTGCAACAGAAAATGGACCATCATCAACAAGGTGAGCCCTGCAAGTTGTGTTTTTTCCGATCTTAAACTTATTCTGCGATAAAAAGAAAAAAAATCAAAATTAAGCCCCAAAAAATGGCACTAAGAAGCGGCAACGAGAGTCATGATGGTGATGGTGATGGTGATGGTTATTACCAATCTGTGTTTCGGACCAAATGAAGAACTAAGAATTGGGAGAGAAATAGAGAGGGAAGGAGACAAGGCGGGAGGAGGATTGAAACGAAGACATGAATGGAGAGTCTACGGATTCATGGGTGGGAATCAGAATTGAGAATAGTGGAACCATTTAAGAAACCACTTCGAAACACGAGACAGAGAGTTGGATGAAAGTAGAAATAGAGGAAGGGTTTGAAAGCATCTTCAGGTGCGCGCTGTTGCTCCTCATGCAACTATGTGCTGTGCGCTCCACGGAAAGACTGCTGTATCATTTTTGTTCATGGGCCGACCTTCCTAAACATTAAACAGCATTAATTTAAGTTCAATTAACCAACGAGGGTTGATTTAGCAGAAAACGCTAGTCCCTCACAACGTGACGAACCAAAATTTGAATTTCCACTAGGAGAGTTACTCACATTTAGTGCCCACAATACCTCAAATAAGATTGCCTCTAATAGAAGGATACCTTTGCTTTAGCCCAAAAAAAACAATTCAATCTAATTTTTTTGATAAAAAATCAAAATATATATTATCCAGAAAGATAAAAAAACTACTCAAAGATAACAGTAAAAAGAAAAATAACAAAAACAGTAACTAAGAGAAGCCCAAGATAAAAGAACCAAAGGGTCCAAAACCAAAAGAAAGCACAGAGACTAGTTAATCTCCATCCATCGGCTACCATATCAAACCCTAGTCAGCCTTCATTACAGAATGCCATTCTCGTGGTAGCCATCTCATGAAAGAGATCAAGGAAAAATATCTGGTATTGTTTTGTGGGTGAGAAGAAACAAAGACAATCTGCACCCATCTCTGTCTATGATGGAAAGAAATGAATAGAGAAAATACTGGCAACAAAAAGGGACAACAAATTGAACAAGAAAATGAAAGACTTTAATCACGGGGTAAACTGCCACAGGTGAAATAAAGCTAGAAGGGAATACCTAGGAGCAAGAGGTTATGGTGCTGGTTGGTTCTTGCCTTGAGAGCGCAGGTTTGAACCTGGTATTCATGGGATCTCATTTTCCTTATCCATTATCATGCAACTGTTTAAGTTACTCCCTCTGCCCCTTTTTATAAGAGACAATTTTTTGAATAGACATGGTCAATTTTATACCATACATTTTGGAGTTGTCTAAACATAAATGTCTCTCTCATCTCTTTTGCCACTAATTCTCTCTCTCCCATCCACATTCTCCACAGAGGAGGGCATTTTTACCAAAATTCAATTTTCACATGTTTAGTGCACCTAACTAACCTTTCGAACAACATAAATCAGTTAATTGTATCTAATAAAAAGAAATGGAGAGAGTAATTTTTATGCAATAGAGGATAGTTATGTAACTGTTTGGGAAGCTCTACACAATTTGAGGGTGGTTATAAAAACATTCTGCTCAGTTTTTGGGTAGTTTTAGTGGTAACTGTTTTGGAAGGTTTTGCCAGTAGTTAAGAATTAAAATGATGAAGAGGGAAGGAGAGGAAAAACATTGTGGAGTATTTAAAATATACCTACTATAACCAGGGGAACTCATTGTCATTAGATTTGCCTATTTGTGTGCGTGCATTTGTGCATGTGTATTTTGCATATTTTACATATGACCCTAGTTCTGTATTCAGGACTCCATCAGAATTATCCAAAAAATGGCAGTTTGGCTTCCGCTACTTATCAATAACTTACAAGTAGCTCTGTCATTAAAATGAGGCTAACAGGCAAAAGGGGAAAATCAGGCAGTTTAGGAGTTGAAGATGACAATGCCTCGTCAGACTCATATTAACTAATAATTAATCTTACAGATTGGGGAATCATTTCATTAATCTCAACAAACAATTAAATTGAATTATATTATATCTTACTGTTATAATCTTCAAATCAGATAAAACAACGAAATATCAGTTGCATTCTTGAGTTCTTGAGGATCAAAATGGAACTTCATTGCAAGCATGCAGAGCCAACAATGCTACAATAATATATGTTATCCAAATGTATATTCGTAAAAGAAACTAAAGACAAATGTAAACACAATCATAGCAACATCATCGATTATCAAACCTCACCTGATAATATCTGCCATCTAGCTTTTTAACACCATAGCCCAGCTGAACTGTTCCAAAGGACTTTATATCGGTGAGAACTCCATTTCTTCTATAAACATGTTTTCCCACCCTAGCAACCAAATCCATGATAGGTTCCTTCTTTAAATGAGGCTTAAATAGAAGCATACAATCGTAAAGAGGCATTTTTTCCCTGCTTTGAGGGAGCCAAATCAGCCACGGATCTGCTTCACCAAGCAACCAATTAGCAAAATTATAGGAATCTTACAAATTTCCATTTTCCGAGTATCGAATCCAATATGAATTATCAATATCAAGCACTGATAACTATTAAAACACAAACCATGGAGTTTGGAATTGGGATAGATAAATGTCAATCTCGTACTTAGCAAAGAGCGACCGTCAGCACACACACGTCAATAATTTAGTTCCTATCTTTTTTTACCTTTGAGCAAACTGACACTAATTATCATAAAATTTTTCAATATGATGAAGATTGAGACCGATATTAAGTTCCTACGGTTCCAATTCTATCATTTACAAATATTATGGTTTACCAAATTCCATGATATACGCAGGATTGGGTTTACCAAACTAAAGATAGATATGACCACATTTTCTATCTCAGCACGTGGATCGTTTTCCTACTGTCGGTCTATTAACCCTGCATTGCATCCGCATAAAATAGATGTTTGCTTATAGAATCAGATTCACAATGAGCCAATAATAGGTATTCACAAGGGAAACTCACTAATGGATACCTTTGAAACCTTTTATGCAGGAAGAAGCCGTATATGCATGATCAATGATCGAAATGTAGAAGATGACGCTGCTAAGTACGTATAACGCGAGAAGAGAAACACGCTCCGGTTGCGGCTTCTCCGGATAGGGTCTTCGCCGCGCAAGTCAGCCGTCGGAGGTGAACGGCGGAGAGCTGCAGGCAGCCACGCAGAGTCGGTGGAGACGGAGCGAAGTGAAGACTAGCACCATGAAATCCAGCAAATAGGCTGGGGGCCTGGGGCTGTCTTAAACGACGTGGCATTGCTCCATCCCCGGTCCGGTGCCACGTTGCTTCCAGCACATTAGCGACCATTATAAATATAAAATATATTTTGAAAAATCTTTGATGGCAAAAACAAGCAAAGGAAAATATCATACATTCATACTATGGCATATAGGGCATTTTGCTCATTTTTAAAGGTAATTAATATTTTTTAAATGTCTCAAAGAATATATTAAAATTGCTTATCTCTCTATTAATATGATTTATTATTCACGCATTTAAAAAGAATGAAGTTAATTAAAATTAAATCTTTGATACCTAATTATTTTTTTAGTAAATGTACATTAAGTAAAAAATTTATATTTTTAGCTTATCAAAAAAATTATATTTAAAAATAAATAACAATAATAAGTAAATAATAAAATGATATAACTGATAAGTAAACATTTTTTAAAAAAGAAACACACATTGAAAATTGATAGAAATAATAAAACAACATACTTTTTTGCCAACAATAAAACAGCATAATTACATAATTTTTATAAATGTATTAGAGATTACAAATAAGCTCAAGAAGTGCTCTTCTTTTCCTCTTTTTGTTACGCCCGTATACCTTTCCTTTGTTTCGCCAACTGTTTTTTTGTTTTTTTTGAATAATATATTGATGCATGTCATTTGCTTTGCGGAATTATTTTTGCTTCATGACAAGGTAAATGAAATTTGAAAAATAAAGTAATTATAATTAGTATTTGGAGACAATGATACTTCTAAAGTTAAAATATTTGTTTTCATTATTTAATATTGAAAATATTTTAATATATATTTAATAAAAATATGACATATTCAATTTAATTTCTTCAATACATTGCAAATATTTTATTTTAATAATATTATGTTATTTTTCAATATATTACAAATATTTAAATTATCTGATGATATTGATATTAATATGAAGATGTTATTGTGATTTAATTTGATTATAAATATAATATATTTTCACATATCAGCAAATGTGTTTTAATCATTCATCTATTTACTCATTTTTTTTCTTTTTATTTTCTTCAACTTCATCCATGAGGGTGATAATATTAGCTTATACCTGAATGTGAAACCAAGGTCATAAAACAAGGTCATTAGCTTATACCTGAATGTGAATAATGTAAAAAATAATGCTAGCAATAAGAAGCCAGCTTTCTTCCGGTGAGAGTGATAGGTTTGACCTAATGAAGCAAATATCCACTAGTCACATTCCAAACAACATCACGTAAAATTCAAGTGACATTAGTCATTATTAGTTTATCAATAAAATGCAATGTGCTTTATGTTACATCCAGTAATTTGATAAATAAAAGTAAGGATATTCTTAAATATTTACTGGCCAACATAATAGAAAAAAAATAGAAGAACATAATTCCAATTATTTATGTTGCGTCGAGGCAAAAGAAAAATTCCACAAAAGTTGTGGGCAGGATTATGTAATTTTGAAAATATGTTAGAAATTTTCAAAAATTATGGAATAATCATAGAATTAGAGGAATGCCCCTGGATACTATAATAATTTTTAAAAATAATAATTTTTATGGGAAGTATTTATTATGATTTTCCAGTTAGTTTTGGAAGTTTTACTAATTAAGAAAAATTGGTCAAAATCAATTATGAAAAAATATTTTTGAGCCTCAAAAAATTTAGAAAAAATATGGATAATGTACCTTGGGAATTATATGATAGTATATAAGTGGTTTTATACCCAAATTACTCCTAAAAAAATTATAAAGGAATTTAAGGGTGAATTAGGCCAAATTGTGGTCATTTATTTCGAAAATTCCAAAGAAATAGTTTTAAGGAAAATTAAATTTCAAGAAAATTCATAAGGCATTTCAAGAAATTATAAGAGATTATGAGATTAAAAAGAGCCCATTACATGATCATAAATTTTTTAATGGCCTTGCCGAATAAAAAATCACTATGAAAAGGAAATTAGTTTTCCTCTTTATAATTAATAGAAAATTAATAAGCAACAAAGGGCATTTTGGGAAAAAATGAGAAGAATGGATTATGGATCTAATAAAAAATAATTACAATGGCTAGGATACTGTAATTATAAAATAGGAATTGAACTCAAAACAAAAGTGCATTGATAAAGTAAAAAGTATATTCTTGTCTTTTACTTAGTTCACAAGTTGCAACTTGTCAAGCCATCAATGGAGAGGATTTGAGTGATAAGTGTCAAGCTAAGGGTGGAGAAGATTTTGACTTTGGAAATTGCTCTTCAATTGGAATTAAATTAATAGAGGAAAAAGGTTCAAGAAAGCATAAGAACTTGACACCTCATCATTGTAATTTGCTTGATCTTGGATGGCAATTGTGAGGGACTTGGCCTATAAATAAGCCCTTTCCCCTCTCACAAGACATGATTTTCAGCCAAGAGGGGGAGGTTCTTGCAAATTAATTTCTTGAATTTCAAACAAGAGGAAAGCTATTACCTTTGGTTAACGAAGCTTGGATATGAGGTTACTAGGTTGTTCTATTGTGTTCTTTGCCTTGTTTCCTTGGTTTGTATGGTTCAAAAATCTAGTCTCCCTCTTGAGGAAGTGCTATCGGAAATCATAAAAGGTTAGAGGAAGGAAGTTTTGATGTTATATCTAGTTAAAACACATTGGTTCAAGGTTGTTTCAAGTAGTTTGTGTTGATATTTGAAAGATTTCATGATATGATTATGAATGGTACTGTTCAGGCAAGCTAAGATCTATACCATAGGATGTGTTTTTTATAGTTTTGATGCTTCCATTATATCACACCTCTCTTTATAACCCATTATACGTCAATTAGAACCATTATAACGTGTTTTACAGTGTTTTCGGATGAAAAATTTTAGTTTCAGAATTTCACATTTAATTCTGTCCGTACACTGTTCATCCGAAAATGGGCCAACTTTGAAAATTCATAACTAATTCTAGAAAAATCAAAACAAGATGATTCCAATTTTCACACGAAGCTCACTAAGAGTTCTCTAGAGGAAAAAAAAATTCATCGGACTCAATTCCATCCAGAAAAGCACCAAAAAATTCAACAAAATGCATTGTTCATTTGGTCAATTTTCCAATTTCTAGTATTTTTGACCAACTTTGGAAGAGCATAACTCTTAGCACAAAACCCCAAATTTGATGGTTTACTAATTGATTTAAATTTAAAAATAAGATCTATAAGCCTGTAAAATTTCATGCCCAAATTCCAACAATTGCTCATTATTTTAATGTGCCACAAGTTTGGCATTATTTAGGGAGATTTTATCCCCTAACTCTATTTTTTTAAATTCTTTTCTCTTCTTCCTTTACCCACATCCTTTTGGTATCATGCCATTCAAATTTCCAACACTAGGGTATGTCATATAAACATAATTTGCATCATATTATCATCTATAATCCATTACAAACTTGGCATAAAGTTAGATAATACTTCACATAATATTCCAAAACAATATGACATTCACAACGCTCTTTTATCCCAACACCATTTTCTTGCCCTTACCATCGGATGAATCATTCCCTATTGAGACATAATTTAACATAGGAGGAATGAGATTTCTATGAAACCTCAATAGCATTTGAATTACAATTTCATGCAAATCAAGCAAGTTACAATGTGACATGTTATCACATCTCAAGACACAATCAAGCCACATGAAAGCATGCTTAACGACATGATAAAAGAGGAACATCAACACTTCCGCAATGGCATAATTCAATGCATTTGGCCAAAGCATAAACCAAGGTCATTCAACTAATCCATGCCACAACACAAGTTCCTCTATCCAAGCAAATAACAAATCACATTAAACAAGCAAGATTAACAATCAAATTATAACTCAAAGATACCTTTTTAATACTTGTCTAATTGGTTACATCAAGAACAAAACTTCCTCTTGGTTCCTCCTCACAATGCCTATTAAACCAAGCATAAACATAGGCCATATTAATCCCTAAACAACATAAACACAATTCTTAAACTTTAACTCAATAATTCCCCCCCTTTTCTTTGATTTTTAACCAAGTGGTTCCTCCTTTAGAATCAATAACCTCATGACTCAATCCAATACAATTTTTCATGATGAATCCAATGGTACAATCAGATTTTTGAAATTCAAACTCTTCCCCCCATGAACAGTGACTGGCCGAATAGGGGGTATTTATTTCCAAAAATTCTATTTTTTATTCTAATGATTTTAAACACCTCCCAACAATATATCCTACACAAAAACATGTTTTAAAGCCATTGGAATCATCAAATCAAGCCAAAATAATTTTCTTCAGCATGAACAGTAATAGGTCGAATTGTACATATACATATTCCTAGATGGATTTTCTTCTAAAAACCAATCCATACACCACTTAATCTTGCTTATTCCACTTGGTATTTAAGGCCTCTATCCTTCCCTAACATCATATGAATGGACCGAAAATTTGGCAGCATATACCCCTTTATTTTGCAACTCAAAACCCTAACCAAAATAGTGTAACACTTAGGGATAAGGAGGCTTATACATACCTTGATGTTCTCTTAATAAAAATGAGAAATTCCTTGCCCAAAACACTTAGGAATTTAGGTTGGTGAGTGTTGGAAACAAAGTGACAGAACCTCCCCTTGTTTTTCTATTTTCCAACATTTTTTTTGTCTTTTAGGAGGGGGTATTTATAGAAAATCTGATTTGCCCCTCCCCTCCCTTAATTGGCCAAAATTTGGGACACTTCAAGGGTTTAGGGTTTAGGGGGTATTCACTAGTAACATTCTATAATTTTTATAGATCTCCAAAAATTCATTTCTCTCTATGATAATTCACCTTTTAATATAAGAATATGATCTAGAGATTTTCAAAATTTTTTGCCACCTCTAAGTATTTATTTTGAATTTTCTCCGATTAGGCCTTTATCTGTAAATCTGAGGGAAAATAAATTCCCTAAAATTAATTCTTG